AGACTTGGCTCGTCAACTCACAAGCTGAGCTCGTTTATTATTATATTAAAAAAAATAAAAACTTGTATTATTTAAAGAAATATGTTACTTCCAATGAAGCCGAAAAATACAAAATATTAATTGTATTTAATGCAAATTGTTGCTCCCAACAGATTTTTTTGGGGAAATGCTACTAGCTGGTTGTTGTTTTAAAAAAAAAGCATTAAATATATTTTTAAAAAGTCTGCCAATCTATTCTCCCAATAAAAAAACAAGTTCTTTCATCCTATTGTCCAACGGGTGGCTTGTCAATGAATCCCAAGTTAAGCTCTCGATCTCTTTCTCCAGCGAGCCAAGATGACGAACCAACGTTCCAACTTCTCCAGTGAGGTAAGCTCACAAGTCAAGCTCAAGCCAAAGGCAATTTAGGCGGGCCGAGTGGGCTTTTATTAGGTCAGTAGGGGCCCGTGCCACCGGGGCCCCCACTGTAGCTCCACCCCTAGCTTTGTTGACCATATGAATCTATCATAGGAGTTTCTTGCCATTGATCTTTTCTCAATCATGGTAGAAGGTGACGAAGATCCATTTGATTTTAAATCACATGAACTTCGCGGATCTCAACTGAATCATTAGGTCTGATACCGTTTGTTGGGACTAAATCAATGAGGATCAAATTTTGATAAAAAATATCGGCATTTAAACCAATTTTCATATGATCCAAAGTCAAACACTTAGTATCTCTACAACAACAACAACAACAACAAGCCTTTGTCCCACTATGTGGGGTCGGCTACATGAATCCTTTTTTGCCATCATACCCTGTTAAAAGTCAAATTCTCATTTAAATCTAATAAAGAAAGATCATTTCAAATATTATCTAACCAAGTCTTTTTTGGTCTACCAAAAGTCAAATTCTCAACATCAAGCCTTTGTCAAAACAACAACACTATATATATATTCAAGTGTCTCTATCCAATATATTTTTAGATATATGATGTGAGACTAAACTCAATATTTTTACATGCTTTAATAATTGTTCTTCTTATGAGTTAAGTGCAATATTTGAATAGATTCAAATATATATCACAAATCATAGATAATCTCTTCATGGTTATTATTTCCTATTTACCTTATATATAAAAAAATGCATTAACTTTTATTATCATTAGATATTCACTCGGCAGCATTAAACGTGAGATATTAGGAAATAGTTGTGTGAATGATGGGGACATCAACTCGTGGAAGGTTTATCAAAGGCGTGGCTGCCGATCTACGGCCACGATCGAGTCTTTGTATTTCTGAATCATTTATGTTATTTTATGATTCATGTATTTTTCTATTTGCTTAGTGTCATTTTGGTTTTTTCGTTTGTACCCCTTTAGTGGGAATTGTTGTTTGTAAGCCCAAAGGGCAATGTTGTCTTTCTTTTTTTTTTTTTTGAGTCCTTATACGTGGCTATTTAAAGCCCCTTCTCTCATTGTATGAGGTTAATGAATGATTGATTATGAATTTTCTTCTTGCATGAGTTCTTGTGAGAGCTTGAGTGTTTGATGGAGAGAGATCCCTAGGAGAGGGAGATTTGCGCACCACCAACTAACCTTGGAGACGGCCGGGTTCGTGGCTTATTATCTTCTTTGTATTCCTTTGTTTCTCCCCTCCATCTAAACCGCCAGCTATCATCCCCACCCGAGCCCCCTTTTTCCCTCCCCAAGCCCACGGCCAACCCATCACCCGTCAGCCCCCCACCCAACCCGTGAGCCCCTCTTTCCCCTTGCCATACTCATTTCCTAATTTATGTTGGGACAACTTTGGAGTAGTTTGAAATTCAAATCTCATTAATTTGAAATTCAAAATCTTTCCAAATTTACCAATTCTATTTTTGAAAAGTTACTAAATTGATCCTTTTGAATTTCAAAATTCACATTGGATTTAAGTATTTCTTTCCTAAATCCCAAATTAGGCAACCCCAACTATCTCCCCAATCCCCTCCTTGCTCTTTAATGCCGCCGGCCCCTCATGCCCATCCCCATTAATGCTCTTTTGATTATTTCCCAAACCCATCCCACACTTAGGAAATATTTCCTAATCCCAATTTCCTACTTGGCCGAATTTTCCAAATCCCCTAAAGCCTCCAATTATTTCTTAAATCAAATAATTGATTTAGACTCAAGTGATTTGTTGCCTTAAGTTTTCTCCCTCCAATTCCCCAACTCCTATTCCTAAAATCTGAAATTTCTCTCAGATTTTGGATCAAAATCTGAAACTATTTTCAGATTTTTTGGGAAGACTACTTGGAGCTTGCATCCTCTCCACTTGCAAGAGAAACTTCTTTCTCTTTGCCATCATTCAAGAGGCGTATCAAGTGCTAAGGAGATTCTCACTCAATCACCCTTGAATGGCGGATCCGACAACTGAATACGGTTTAACTTGAGACGAAGACGGCTTCACCGACGTCCTACGATCAACCTTCTTCGACGTGAACCCAAGGATTGACCACACCGTCAAAGACTACTTGGAGCGAATTCTAGATACCTTGGGGAACTATTGACGAACACTTCGACGGCGTCGAGTGTAGGATCTCCACCACTCCTTGACGAAGGTTCTATTTTCCCTTGGTCTTATCTCTGTTAGTCTAACTTCTCTTGGTTTGATTGCAGTCACGACCGACCTCTCCTCATTGCTCATGCTTAAGCTTAGTAAACGTAGGGTTTGAGTGCACCTTTATGTTTTCTAATTATTGTTGTTAGATTAGGGATTTCTTTGAAAACTACTACTTGTCATTATATTGTTTTCTATTTTATTTTGAAAATTTCAAATCTCTTGGCACGTGATTTAGCCTATAAGCGGGGGTGACCCTTTATTTGTTTTGATTTGTCATTTTAAATTGTTGTGAGTTTTGTTCTTTAATTATTCTAATCAAGAGTTGTGCAAAAATCTAAATGAACAAAAAAACATCTCATACTTAGTCCTGCATCAGTGAACTAAGCTCTAATAAAAACCCTATATATTGACTGCAATGCTTATGAAATAGAAAAGTTGCCTTTATGATTTTAAGAGATAAAAGATAAGAGAGAAGGAGAACAAAAGAAATAGAAGAATTAAAAAAAAAACATTTTTAAGAGAATAGATTGTTGTCTTGACGAATCGACAGTATTATTGCACTACCAATTTTAAGTTAAATCTACAGATAGGTATAAAGATGCCTTTTTGAGGAACTTTTAAAATGGGTATTTTTTAAATGTTTCTTTATTCATTTTTGTTTATTATCTCTCATAAGTTTTTTTCACTCATTCTTATCTTGGGAGACATATGACTTCATTTCTTTATTGAGCTTGGGTGTAGTTGGATTTTGGGATGGGTTGGTGCATTGCTTTATTTTATACACTATTTTTGGCTTATGATTTTAAGAGATCGAATTTGCTCTCCTTAAGCAAAGGCGTAGGCTTTGTTTACACCGACCTACATGAATCTTGATTTATATGATCTTTGATCTCTTTGCTACTATTTTTTGGCTAATGGCATTCACTCATAGTTGTGCTTTCAAAATAAAAATAAAAATTAGGCATACTTTTCCTAATGGTTGTATGGTCGAACAACCCGTTTTAGAGCAAGGCAATTATATTTGAAAGTGAAAAAATCATGATTTTTTGTGCTAATGAATTATATTGTCATGTCTTCCTTTTTATCATCAAGAGAACATAAGGTGGTGTTTTATTTCAATCTATTTTATTTTGTGAGTTCTATATTGAATTATTCATTACGCATATGACTCTAGTAGTATCACACTTAGTAGGAATTTTATTCAATTTTATACTAAAATCAAGGAGGTTCTTCAACAATGGAATTGAGCACAAGTTTTGACAACCACATACTTTGCATTAGCAATAAAAGGTGGTATTGAATCTTGCTTTCAATTTGACTATGAGATTAGGGAGCTGTGCAAGCATTACAAGTCACAAAACTACCTTTGCAATGAAGAAAATTTTGAGAAAAATCATATCAAATAAACCTACTATGTCTAAAACAATAGCACCATTGGGATAACAAAAAATAAGTGATTGTGAGCCTACTAGGCACCAAAAAGTTCTTTTGACCACCGTTAGGAGAGATTCCTTAGATGATTCTTGAAATCTAGCACTCATGTAACCATTAAAGATAATATTATAACGACTTGTGATTAAATAAAAGATCGAATGCTATGTCAATTGAGCATTTGATATGCATGTCTTTCATCTTCCTCTTTGTCAAATAGACTCATTAGCATATTGATTAACTCGAGTCTCCCATGGCTGAACTCTTTTTTAGTGACTTTTTTATCTATTTTGTTTGGTTGATGGGGATTTCACTTTAAAGACATTATTCTCAACCTTTGGATGAATAATTTAGGATTTATTGTGTTTGATGTGATCCCTTGTAATTTCACTCCTTCAGAAGTTCATGATCATTCTCATCTTAATCGGAAGCTTGCAGTTATCAAAATCTCACTATTTCGGGTATCATCATGTTCAAAATGTTTGGGAGAAGAATTGTTATGATTCATTAAATATAATCAAATATAACATGAATATATTCTTCAACAATCAAAATCCTATTTTTATAAACACAGAAGAAATTGTTTTTTGTGGAACAACCAAGAAAAATTATTTGCATTATTGTCAAATGAAAGACCCTATTCTCATGACTTGGATGGATGGTCGAGGATTTGTTGAGGTGGATGTGATCCTTGTACTTCCACTCCTTCGAAGTCCATGATCACCCTCTTCTTAATTAAAATCTTGCAATTGTCAACATGTCACTAGTTAGAGATATTCACATTCTTTAACCTACTCTTTATATCATCTTCATTAAAACATTTGGGAGAAGAATTATTAAGATTCATCAAATGAAAAATGAATACATTCTTCAATTATCAATGTACTTTTTTTATAAATATAGAGAACTTGTTTGTTGAGGCATAGCTTAGAAAAATTGCTTGAAGGGTATTTGACAAGTGTCCACTAATGGTGTCCTTGCTTATACAGAGAGCTCAAAGAAAAGCCCTGGATGTTCTCAACACTGTTGGACTCTCTAACTCTGTACTGAAACTCATCGAGAGGCGTCATCATGTTGACAAGTGGATCGCATATGCTGGTATGGTGATCACAGTTGTTGTAATGTACATGTTCTGGAGGTGGACCCATTGATTTTTTTTGCAGCTGGCTCCTGATGTGCTGGAATTAAAGGTACATTACTTTCTTTCTATGATAAATAATTAGAGAAAATAATCAAAATAGTTTTTAAATTTATTAACTCTGTTCATTTTATTCTCTGATTTTTTTTTCAAATGTTTCAATTTAGCTCTTCAACTTATTAAATCTAAACCAAATCAGTCATATCATCAAGTTTATCATTTCTTTGGATGAAAATTGGTGAAGGGGAGTTTTTTGAACTATTTAGGGTTAATCTCATTTGTTTAAATTGGTATTAACTATTAAGTGATGAGGTTAACCCAGAAAAATTCAACATGTCATTATGAAAAGCTTCTCCGCCAAATTATGTTCAAATAAACAGCAAAAGCTCGTGATAGGATGAAAATGACAAAGTTGACATGAGGACCAAGTTGAGGACTAAATTGAATACATGAAAAAATCTCGGACTAAAATGACATACTTTAAGGTTTTGTTTGGAACGACTTTCTTACTGCTTCGTAAAGTAGCTTTCTAGTACAAATATTTTAATTTTTGTACTAAAAAGCTAATTTAAAAAGCAGAAAGCTGTCCCAAACGAACCCCAAATCTAGAGGTCACTTTAGCCATTTTACTCTAAATATTTCTATGTATCTATGGTTGCAATGAATTGGAACTATTATGCAGCTAACCATTCTGTTTTTGCAGCCCTATGTTGAACCACATGCTTTGGGAAATGCTCTGAGAGTTAAATGTACTTAACCTCCACATTAAGCATTTGTATTTGTCTCACTTTGGACCATTTCTGGCTGGTTAGCTTAGCTAGTCTTTTGGTTGCTCCAATTTCTAGCTTGCTAAAAAAAATCATAGCATCTGATATTATTAACAAAAAAAAAAAGATTGTATATGCAAAAATGGGACATGTTTTAGAGGGATGGGGAAGAAATCTGTAATAGTATAGTTGATCATTGTTCCTTTTTGTTGATTGAAGCTTCGTTTGAGACGGTTTTCTTATTGCTTTTTAAAACAGTTTTTTAGTACAAAAAATAAAAATTTTGTACTAGAAAGTTGCTTTCAAAAGCAGTAAAAAAGTCATCCCAAACAAAACCTAATGACCTGATCTCTTCAACCAAGCTTATTGTTTTAAGAAGTACCATTACTGAGTATTCTTACACATCATATTGTGCTCATTTTACCTATTGCAGTACTTGAAATAATCAAATTTGGTTGTATGCAATGAGAATTTTAGGGTTCTAATTCAGTGATTGGGTCTGAACAAAAGCCCTTATGTGTGCTTTTGATTTTAGATTTTTTAGACAATAATCCTATTAAGGTTAACCATTGTGCTAATACATGTAATGAGATTTCATAAATTTTTTTTTTATTTTGTATTAAATTTAGAATTTATATTTATTTTAAATTATTGTAGTTTTTCAAGATCATATGCATATAAGATCAATTATGTGATAGAGAGTCGAGTTTGAAGTTTGAGAATTTTGAGCTACTTCGATTATCGAGTTCGAGTTCAAGTTCAATCCAAATTAAGCTTACCTTGATTACTCGTCGAGCGGCTCGAGTGTTAAAGCGTCAGGGGGTTAGACTTGATATACAAAAGGGTGGGTGGTGCGGGCTCGAATACAAAGGCTTGGGTGGGCTTGGATGTGATTGCATGCGGAAGGAGGAACAACAAGGTTGGTGGCCGATGTGAAATTGCTATGCTCATGAGCTAACATTAACTACCGCAAGTCGAGTTTGAGCTCGACTCGAGTTCAAGATTGGGATATAGCTTGTGAGTCAAGCTCGAGTTAGGTGCCACTCAGTTGCATCCTTAATGATAACAAGGTTGGGGCGTTTGGGACAGCTTTTTTACTGCTTCTTAAAGCAGTTATTTAGTATGTATTTTTTTAATTTTTGTACTAGAAAACTATTCTAGGCGCCACTCAGTTGCATCCTTAATGATAACAGTCAGTTTTCCACCCAAAAAAAAAATCTTCAAATGAATTACTTACTCGTCAGCTTTAAATTTGAGAAAAAAAAAAAAAGTTAAACGAGCATTAAATTCAATTTAGGCAACAAGTAAAATATCTTTTAAGACTATTTTTATAGCAAATTTATTTCAAATCTTTAAGTTGCGAAACCACACCTTTCCCACTTAATTCACCAAGTAATCCGGCAGTGCATTAGCAAAGAGAACTACACAGCAGAAATATCAATCAAAATGTAGCAGAAATTGACATAATTTTGATTTCACAAAGCATTATATAACTACAATTTTACATCTAACAGTAATATATATATATAAACAATTCAATGAAAAGGTGACATGCACATACAATCATCATGTATGTTAGTTATTGATATAAAACAATCAAACTCTACCTTTAATTTTATTAAAACTTTAATACAACTCCATTTTATTAACCATCAAAATTTTTCCATTTCTAGTCACAAAATAATGTCTCTCATACATCTCACCTTAATTTATTGGTTGAAAGCTTTGATTATAAATCACGAGATCTTGGATTCTAAATTTGTTGATGTGATGTTTATGAGTTTAATTTAATTGGCCCAAAAATTTCAAAAAAATAAAAAATTTAATGTTCGACAGCAAAAAATATCATAAATTCCAATAGAAACATTAAGTCAAACATTATACACATAATTCGATGAATGCATAATGAAGTTAACAAATCAACCCCATCTCGAGTTCAATTCCCTCGAGCGACAGTCGCCCCTTCAATGGGGGGCCCCACAACGACTGTTGCACATACAATGGTGTGGGTAACCTGATAGATCAACTGGGGTTTACAGACCACCAAGCACGCTCGATGAAGACAGGCATGTCAGCGGACGGTTCCTCATCACCAAAAAAAAATTATAAAATGAAGCTATGATGGGGACTACGAACAATGCACTTTGAAAATGAAGTTAGGAGGCTAGTTTTTTTTTTTAATTAATTCATATAATATAAGATAATATTAAATATTAAATATTTTTAAATCGAGTAGCTAAATAAGCTTTCAAGTCAAATCAGGCTGAACTTAAACGCATATAATAAACAAGCTCGATTATAGGCTCGAGCTCAAACTCGAAACTCCGTAAGCTCGACTCCTAAGCTTATTAACGAGTCGAGTTCAAGCCAGCTCACGAGTCGACTCGACTCACTTACGCCCTACCTTTCAGCTTTCCTTTCAGCTTTCAACAACTCTAACAATTTCCCTTCATTTTAACTTGGCATGAAGAAAACTCCAAACTAAAATTCCAAAGAGAGTGTCAAAAATAGAACAAATAAAAAATTTGCAAAACCAACTTTCTTAATTGTTTTATTCTAAGTCACCAAACAAGAAAAACCTCTATCAGCAAAGCCAAATAAATTATATCAAAAATCTACATAAAAAGCAGACAATTTACCAATCATTGAATATCTTTGACAATGCAGAGAAATTATAAGTACCCAACAACAACAAAAAAGTCCAGCACCACACATTCTAATAATCAGGAAAAAAAACCTGAGCAGATAAAAAAAATCTACAAAGTATATATTGTTAGACCGTTAATCATACAATATGATGTCTAACAGTGCCATTTCAACATTCCAAATAGGATTAGAAAAACTTGATATCATTTAAGACCACAAAAGACAGTAGCAACGCAGAAGATATCTGCACAGATCCTTCAACTCTCATAAAGTGGAACACTTGCAAAGTAAAATAGAATGGCTGCCGCACGTCAGATGATTATCACAATGATCTTCCAACATCTGGATTTAAAATTATTACAACAAAATTTCAGTTAAAACACAAGAAATCCTAACAGTTCAAATTCAGAAAATCATATATATATATATATATGGAATATAAATTTGTAGTGGAGATGATATTAATAAATTATCATACAACATCATTAGAAGATAAAGTGAAACATTATTGTGAGATATTTAAATATCTTAGATCCATTATATAAAAGAATGGAGACAGATATGAGGAATAATTTCTAGAGTGAAGGCTGAAAGTTTGAAATGAAAAAAAATGTCTAGGGAGTTTTATATGACTAAGGACAACATTAAAGCTTAAAGGTAAACTTTATGAAAACCAAATTAGGTCGCAATATTGTATAGATTTGAATATTGGCATATAAAAAATGTGCTTAAAACATGTGCAACGACAAGTAGAAAATGCAACTGTTATTTGAGTTGATGAAATTAGTATAACATGATTAGGAAAGAAAAGAGATGGATCTGAAATTACATAGGTATAAGTTATTCAAACAGCACTTATCAAAAATGGCGTAAGGCAAGATTATTTACGTTGAAAGACTTATTGCAAGCATTCCTTCGAGATCAGCAGAGTCTTCTACTATACTTCAATTTAGAAGTGGAAAAAGTTTTGAACAAAATAAAAATAATAACTCAAGCAACATTCAACACGAATGAATGAACAATGAGAATTAATTAAGCAAATAACAAAAAATTGCTAATAAGGCTAATGATGATGATTATATTTTCAGTTTAGAAGCAGAAAATATAAAAGCATAAAATCTAAGATTTAATTAAACCAGCCTCTAAGTTAAAACAAGATTTATATGCTCTGTAACATACTGAATCCATCTTTTCCTATCATCACTAATTCCAAATCTTTCTAAACAAAGCCAATCTACATAAATGGCCTCTTCTCCCCATATGAAGAAGCCTAGACCGTACCAATAAAGAAAACTGTAGTTATTTTCCAAAATAAAAGTAAAAAATGGTAATTGAATCATCAAGTGGATGAGCACGAGTTATGAGCCTACAGAGTCAAGTACACTTTAAAGCTAGTTGGGTTGGGTGGCCTGCATTATTTTGTACAAACACAGAAATGTGTGTATTTTGGAAACAAATTGGAGAACGACAACGTTAGTGAAGACAAATATTATATTACTGGAGGAAAAAATGGTTCGTGAGACGAAACGTTATATGGATAGAGTAATTAAAGTTTAAGTAGCTGGCAGCATCCCCCATTGATATAAGATGCTTAGGTCTAGCATTTCCTAATGCAACTAGAATGATGCAAAATAGATCATGCAAAAAAGTTTAAAACTCACATATCATAGATTGCTGAATAAAAAAAATGTTTTCTTTAGAAGCAAATAGGTAGATATTAAAATTAGAATCCAAATGATAATGTGATAAGTAATAATTGAATAAATTCAAAGAAATCAATCAAAAGATTGAACCATGGAAAATAAGCAAAATAGTTAAAATTTAATCGTCACAATCAGAATCCCAGTTCAGTCAAATTTGGAAAAATCAGAAAACATTAGCAAGTCAATAACAAGTTAAGTAAAAGAATTTCGGTCAAGGAAACAATCTAAATTTAACTAAATTTAAATTTTCATGTCTTGCATTAGTACGAGGAAACTACTAACCTTGTTAACTATGTATTTGCACTTATACTCAACACAATGTCGAAAAATGAAAGAAATTTTTATTCAAAGTTAATAAATTGCTTGCCTCATACATCTCTATATAATCCACATCCCTATGTTAACAGATATGGCACAAGAAGAGTCCAATCTGACTCCAAATAATCATGAAGTTCATGTGAACCAAAAAATAATCACATCAGGATTATGTAACAGAAGAATAAACTACGGTTGAAACAATAGCAATTAATGTAAGCTAAAGCGCCATCAAGATTATGTAACTGACTTTCCACAAGTTTAAACTAACAACAAACACACTCGCAAGTAGTGGCACGGTGGAAAAGAGCAGAAGTAGTGTGTATTGCTAAAGTCCTTCAGAAGTAAACAGGGAGGAACCACGTCAATATGTCTAACTTGCAAAAATGTGAATCCAACAACTTAAGTCTTTGATATTCATCTATAAATCTTTGAACTTGAGGATATCCAAGAACATAACCAATCAGACCAATTATCATACCATATAAACCAACCTAATACTAAGAAATAACAAATGCATTCCTTTTTTAAGGCCGTCGTCATAAGCATGTCTCAAACTACTAAAATTATAAAATAACATAAAATAAATCAATTAAAGAAAATAAATAAATTTTGCTTATATCATTGTTTTATATGATCTTTCTATAAAAAATAAACATGCAAACTTCCATTAAATATGTCCAGCTTAAAAAATTTCCATTAAGAATTCAGTACCTGGTACTGATCAAGCAAATCAAGACATAGATTTTGTGTTTTATGACAAGTAATCTATCTATGATTCAACACATGCAAGTCTATTTCGCCAATAAACAATATCTTACTAAAATCCAACATCAATTGTAGCACAATCTCGTCAGCTAAACTAGAAACAGGAGTAAGCTATGTTGAGCTACTTGACAAAGGATTGGATAAGGATTTGCAACTAAGAGGTTGAAAAAGAAAAGAATTTAAGGAATCGAAAATAAGATGAAATAATGTCAAATCAAGCACATGAAAAAATGGGTTAATATCAAAATTTCCTAAAAAATTTTGTAGTAGGGATTAGTTCCAATGCATTAAAAAAATTTTAAAAGACCTCTTCTTTGCAATTGATTCCTTAAAGATTCTTGATGGAAGTCATTCTAAATTTAAAGGCACCATCACTTCATCACCAAGTTTAAATGTCATATACCTCATAGTTTAAATGTCATTATCTTCTTTGCAATTGATTCCTTAAAGATGCAAATAGGAAAATATGAGAATTAGAATCCAAATGATAATGCAAAGATTGCATAAATCTAAGGAAATCAATGAGAAGTTTGAGCCACACAAAATCAACATGCAACTGTGATTGAATCATCGTTATTGGAATATCAATTGTGTCAAATTTAAATAAAATTCTGAACACCAGCAAGCCGATAATAAATTATATAAAAGAGATTTGATCAACGAAAGAATTAACCAAATAAGAATAGAATCTTACGTCTTTCAACAAAATTAGATAGTAGCACTTATACCACACTAGACGAATAAAATATCCAACATACAAACACAATAAAAAAAATTGGAAATAAATTTTGTATACAATCAAACTTAATACAAATGCCTCTTTCTCTCCTCTCTTTATCTCTAACTCATCCTAAGTAAATATAGTTGGCAAAATATCAGCCCAGATTACAAATAATTAAGTTCACGCTCAAGTTCATTCAAATATAGAAATTAAATTAATCACCTAAGTAATCTCTGACATAAATAGAACAATGTTCACAAGGTGAATCAATAACAACGATTGTTGCTAGATCAAACATAACAAAAAAATTGTCAAAGAACTTCTACAAGTCTAAACCGACAACAAGCAAACCAACAAGTATTGCCACAGTCCCAAATAGATAAGAGTAGAGGTGGCAACAATTTCTAGTCTTGGAGAAATAAAAAATGAGAACGTACTGGCATCATCTATGTGGCTAGCTTGGCAATAACAATTAATTACAATCACTTCTTTATGATAGGGTTGATTAAAAATAAAGAGGACAAAAAAGCGCAAGAGAAAGATTGGAATGGGCCACAATGTGACAAAAAAATTTTCTAGCTAAGAAATTAGCAAGTAACCCAATTATAAGTTTGTAATCATATCATCATTAGCCTTACAACAATTAATTGGGATTGATGAATACTCATTTTTCACTCATTTCAATTAAATGTTGCCTAAGGTGTTAAACCTACCCTTCACAAATCAATTTCAACAAATTCTATCCATGTTAGTTTAGATCTACCTCTTGTCATCCCTAATCCTCCCACATTAATTTTATCTACACCCATCTATGATGCATTTTCTACTACTTCTTAAGTCTATTTTCAATTAACATATATTAAATAGATTAACCACTCCAAGATAACCATTCCCCAATTTATACTTCCTAATTTTGCCACATATGCCATCTTAGCATTCTCTTTTCAAATATACTCAATTTAAAGATTAACGTGCTTTTTATTATTCAATGCTTGGATGTAGCATAATACTCCAGCAACACTTTTCTATTTAACCCCTAAACACTAACTCCAAAAGTTATGTCCTGAGCAATATATCTATTTTTCTGTATAATAGATTCAAGATACCCAAAGCTATAACACCTAAGTATCAATTTATCTTCATAATTATTAATATCAGTCAATCATACTAGTTAAACTTGTATCAAATACCAATCTTTATTATACTAAGTCTTAAGTCCTTATCTTCTAAACAGTTTCTTTGTCATTTTATTTTCATTTATTTCAGAAAATATCTCATTGAACAAATTTGTGCCATTAAAAAAGCATGCACATCAAGGCACCTTGCTTATTATATATTTTGTAAATATCTCCATAACAAATATAAAAAAGATATGGACTCAATGTCAATCTTAGATGTAAACTTACTATAATTAGGAACTCTTTAATCACTACACTACTAATAATAGTCAATGATCCATCATGAAAAATCTTTGATAAATGCAAACTCTTTTGACAACAACATTTCTTTCCTAATATTTATATAATTAATCTTACGGTACCTCCAACAACTATATAAAAAATTCCTCTATGCACTCTTAATACCTTTTCATTAATTGTCATAAAACAAAAATACTTCAATAGTACATCCATCTGAGATATTTCAAACTTCCTAGAAAAATACCATGCATCCATTTTACTTCATACCAAACACCTGAAAATTGAAATGCATGTATTCATTTTATTTTACACCCCTTACATACCAAATCAAGCAATCACTTAGTTTTTAATCAAATAACTATGCTATCCTTTGCAAGTCCCCAAATATTAACAAATATATCGTCAATAAATAAAGCTCTTACTCCTTAGAGCTAATTCCACTTCAATTTTTCAAAATTAATATATAATAGACCTCATTTTTTGTTCATCATACTCATTCAAAATATTTCCTATACCAAACTTCATAGTTTAATAATTTATCAAAGCAACATATACATCTTTCCATGATGCATTATTTGTAACTAAGATCCCATTACCTTTTTTTTTTAATGCATAGGTTTTTATCAAAGTATCTAGATATCTTATATCTTATCATAGTTATTCTATATTTTCCTTTTATCCTTCCATGTAATGTAATTATTGTTCTCAAATTACACTCATCTCGGCGATTTTATCTTTTCATTGGTGGATACATTACATGGATGCCATTTGAATTTAGATAATTTGATCATACTTTGATAGGGTATTTGTTATTTTGAATATGCTTGCACATACTTGATTAATTTAAAATTTGCCTAACTCATCTCATCCTACCAGGATGCTGCAAAAAACTTAGAAGCTTGGTGGGCTGGTTATTGCGCTACCTATAACTAAAACTTGATCTAAATTTTCATTTCAATCAACTCCATCAAACATAAGGAATATGGCATAAATTCTTAGAATATCATTTTTCCTCTAGAAACCTTATAAACAGTCATTTTAGGATACATTGTTTCCGCCTCATCAAAATCTCATGGTTGCATTTTCTAGTCAATTATTGTGATACTCATCCCCAGTCATCCACTAGTTAGAACTTAGAACTTAGAACTAATACGGCATAGCTATGAGTTCGTTTTTTTATCACTTTTTATGGCCCTCACATCTAGGATTCAAGTCCAATAAGATGACCATCATTTAAAATTATAACATAAGTCTACATAATAACTCAGAATAAACTCTAACAGTTGCCTAGAATACAAAATACTATATAGTAATGTCAGAATTCCATCTATCAATATACAAGTCCACCAGAAGAATCTTACTGCAATTTTTGCAGGACTTTGCAAACAAAGTTCATAGCTTAAACTTAATGGTAGGCCGTTTTTAGACAATAGCACTTGTAGAGCCCCAACCAATCTGCTCTAATTGCTCTTCTCATATTTTTTATTTGGATGAATGAGAAATGCCCCTCAAAACAAATGAGAAGCACTTAGAGACTAAAAATGTAAGAAAACTGAGGTTGTAATTCATTTGAAAAAAGTGGATTACATGAATTGAAATTCACACGACTGGTGGCTTTACTATAAATTCACAATAATTGATTTGATATTTTCCAACCCATTTTCACTCCTATGCAAATTTTCAAAATCAGAAGGATCTTAAAACACCTTATGCTTTAGTAATTTTGGCAAGATTTGATTTATGACTGAGGGAACAAAATTCTGAAATAGAGTTTCAATAGATGTCCCGCATAGAAATATAACTAACTCTCGTATTTGAAAATGTAATAGTACTGGATGATTGATGAAGACCACTCCAGATGACAGCATTTTAGCATTAGAAACAATGTTATTTATGGCATTCCACTAAACCTTATAGGGTCTCTATCAAACACCCAAAAAATATTGTTATTCGTATACAACCCAAACCCTAGTCATCAAACTAATATAACCTTAATATGACACTCCTTTACAAAAATTTTAACAACGGAATGATAAATTTATTTTGTGGAAACAAGAAAAGCATTACAAACTAAACAAGTTTTTATGTTGTTTAATAGGCGTCATAGAGAGTTTCTGATGAATTCCGGTGAATAACCCTATGATAAACAAAAATACCAGTAAAGCGTTTTCAAAACATAAGGGTTTGTGGTATGCGTATCAAAAACAACGTAACTTAACAGTCACGAAGAAGGTTCTACAGTTTAAATTGCCACAAGCATTTTTTGTTTGCAGGGGAGAAAAAAAAATGATGACATATCAAAATTACAGAGTTAAACGTTATAAACGTTAAGCACTATAAAATTACAAAGAATAAACGATAAAATTGCAAGAACATAAAAGCAAAGGCAAAACTCGTAACAAGAGTTGATAAATTATACAACAGTATTTTACCTAAAAGTCTTTTATTATCAAAAGAAGTGAGAAGTACTTGTCTGCTTCAACATAGTACTACGCTACCAGTAATTGTGTCTTAAAAGAAGCTAAAAGCATATAAAATATAAATGGTATAATCTGCAACTTAGAAATGCAGAGAAGGCTGAAAGGAGCTAGAGCTGTTAAAAATTATAACTTTTCAATTCTTGAACAATCTAGAACTAAAAAATCTAAAATATGGTGAAAGAAAAATATATACTAACATCTCTTTCAAAAATACACTTACCAGAAGCAGGTGCTGCTCTTATTACTGGTTTTGACTGGGAGGTTGTTGATTTGGTGGTGGAGGTGGCATCCCTGGTCTAGGAGGGGCAAAAACTGGCACCTGTCCCCCAGGTGGGGGCGGCATCCCGGGCCTCGGAGGCGGTGGTGCAGGCATCCCAGGCCTCGGTGGCGGTGGCATTCCCCTCATCATCTGTGGTGGTGGAGGTCCCAATGGTCTCTGCCCAAACTGAGGCGGTGGCCCAGGGTACTGTGGTGGAGGCCCTCCAGGCCGTCCAGGAAACTGCACCGGTGGCGGAGGACCTCGCGCCAAAGGAGGAGGCTGGCCGGGGAATCCCGGCATCTGCCCTGGAGGCGGCGGCCGCACCTGTGGATAAGAAATAGGGGGCGCAGATAACTGAGGCATAGGAGGTCGAGCAATCTGAGGCTGCATCATGCCAGGAGAAGGCCCTCCAATGCCCCGGACAGGCCCAGCAAGCCCAGGTTGCGCGTGGATGAGTGGCGCGGTCGGGATGCCGCGACCGGCAGCTCTGCCGATACCTGGCCCAGCGAGGGCAGACGCCGTGGATGCCTTTGCACGGGATTCGTCTGGCGGAGGCGGTCCTTCCACAGTCATGGATACGACTTCCTCACCACGTAGCAGAACGAGACCGAGAGTGCGGCGATCTTCGCGCTCTTCTGGAGGACCACCGCCAACCTTTTTGGATCCCTTGGCAGGGGGAAGCTTGCGGAATTCTTCGCAGTCTCCGAGGACAAGGTTCATGTGGCGATCGAAGGCCATGAACTTGCCGACGAGCATCCGACCGTCCTGGATGGTGACCCGCATACGGTAGTTGATGTATTGGAGCATCTTTGATCCCTTCGACATCGACATGGCGGCGGCGACCGGAGGACAGCGGAAAGTGATCGGGAATGTGGTTAGGGTTTCGGCTGCCGAGGCCGGAATGGAAAAGAGGATCTAGGGCTTTAGGCCGGCTAAGTAAACGGCTTTAAGGTTTTTGCAGTGGAAAATAAATCAGGTAACAGATATTAGGATTTACCTTAGAAAACCCTAAAATTGAGAAAAAAAAAAAAAAAAAAAAGTAAAAAATCACTGAGCCACACCACACTGTAAATGCACTATGAAATTTGAGAGAAATTTGTGAAGATCTCTCTTTTCTTTCACTCCCTCATTGTTTCTCTTCTCACTTACATTATTCTCACACTCAAATAAAAGAGAAAAAGCAAGATCAATCCACCAAGGAATGTCACCCTAGAGAAAAACGAGAAACACAAATATATAGTCCGCCTCGAAGCGCTGCGGAGCTAGTTTGGAGCAAAGCAATGCTCAACACTCTATCTTCATTTCGCTTGACAGAGCTGTGGCATTAAATTAAGAGCGTTGTGGCCCTAAACTTAGAGTATCATGATGCTAAGATATATGTCATTTCTGCTAACAAACTTGCAGCGTTATGACGCTCGGGAACATAGCGCCAATCTCTTGGGTTCACAGCGTCATCTGCTTGGGTACACAACCCCTAAGCGCCTTTGCCCATCCCCCATTAAAAATATTTTTTTTGCCCACCCTGAAAAAAGAAGTTGGATCCGCCCCTGAACACAACGTGTATTTTATTGCTTGAATGATGCCACAAACTCTACAGATAGATCTGTGCTAGCCATGGAAGCAAGCAAGTTTAAAAGATCTAAGAAACTTATGAAATGAAAATATAGTTTCTATATATAAATTGCATGGTCAGTTCCATGAAATTTAAAATTTAGATTTTCATGTGAGCCATAAATTTTTATATAAAGAAAGCAATATGATATGAGTAGCTAGAAATATGTCATTGGGCTTGATATATTGAGGGCCAGCTCATATTAAGATTCTAATATTGTTATGTCGCATATAAAATATTTGTTCAAGACAAACAAAAATTATCTTGAATGCACTTGATATCTAAAACAATGAATTTTAGGTGCAATTTTTTAAGTAGTTTTTTGTTTAAAAATTGAATATTTTAGTATCACTAGCTTCAATGTGCATTCACCACATCTCAAATTTCAAGCCAAACATGAATACAATTGACATTTAAAATAAATTTCTTTGTTATGTTAAGCATATTAGCCTTCCAACCATTTCCGACTACATATTGGTCCTAGAATGCAGTACCTACAGATCAGGGTGGGCGTGCTCTGTCTTTATGTGTGGGACGATTCCGGGTAATGCGTAGAGGCGGCAAGAGCCGACCAATTTCTTGCTGATGGATGACAAGTAAGGCTTTTGGTCGATTCATTGCTGTGAGTTGTTTAGGTCCTTAGAGGAGAGATATGAACACAGGAGCTGATGGGAAGAGCTTCAAAGCCGAGGCCGCTCCTGTTTGATGCCTATGCTCCTGTTTGATGCCTATGAGTTGAAAGATTATAATTGTTCGAGTTATCTAATTGATATAAACTGACATAAGCAACTTGCTTTAGAGATTTTTGTTGGCTTTACCTTAAAATTCTCTTTTAAATATTAGCATTTTTATTAGCAATAATTATTTTTTAAAATTTTATAATATTTTTTTTTTTAAGTTATGTCAACGTGTATGTTGTGCACATGCATTTAATTATCTATATATGGCTGAATTTATTTGTGACTAAAATTGTTTATTGTTCATGACGCTAGCAGAACCAGAAAGTTTGAGTTATCAAAGCTTAATTCCATTATTGACTAAGTTTATTTAAATTTAATTTTCATTGGATGTCATATACTCTAGAGGGATATATTACTTGTTGATATTTGCAATTTTTAATATTCTAATTATATCCAACAAACTGATAGAATTTAATGAACATGCTTTCTTAAAATACAGAGATATGACGTGTTAAATATATATATATATATATATCAATACAATGGTAAGTTTATTACATAAACCCCTCCTAGGTTTGAGCCTTAACTACATTGGGTATTTTATGGAAAATAATAATGAAGTTTATAGTTTGATTTATCTTAGAATAAGCATTATTCTTTAAAGTTATTTTCCTATATTTGATTATGTTAATTCATCCAAGTTATTTTTATATTTTTTAACATATTAATTACCTAAATTATTATTTATATACAATATAATTCCATATTTGATCATCCTTCCAATATTTGTTATTTTCATCAAATATAATAATTTTATTTTGCTCACTTTTAGTTTTTGTTTCATAAGTATATAATTTTGGATATTTTGTTAATTTATTAGTAACATAGTGTTGGTGGAATTTTGAAAACATATTTTAAAAATAT